AATTATGGGAAGCCTTAGCAGACGTACTGCAGCTGATGACACTTCAAGCATGCCCAAACTCCTTTCACCAAGGAGACGGGATAACACAGCTCAAACAAACAGCACTCTTCTTGCATCAACGCAGGAAATTACAAGATTCAACAGATTACATCCTGTACAATCAGGATTTGGCTGGCTTCTTTACATCGGTCGATCAGAGCCGGTTTCTTTCAGCATACAGCATCATGGTTCGATGGTACAGAGAGAAGAACCCACTACACTCTTCCAAATTCTTCATTGACCACTCACAGAAAGACCCCACACATCGAGTCCACAGGGGCAAAAGCAGACAAAAGCAGCAAGAAGCCTCCTCCGGCAACAAACTTTGCATACAATTACAACACATACCACAACTCATCATTGCAGTGCTCCGACTCAACTATTTCACTGTTGGTACATCACTCATTGAGCAATTTCGCGGTGCACCTATGGGCTCGCCCTGCAGCCCAGCCCTATGCAACATCGTGGTTGCTGTCGAAGAACAGTGTTGGCACCACACATACAAACAACTTTTCAAGAACCACAAGCATTTTCCAGACCACAACAAGCAGGATCAAGCTTTCTTTTTTGCTACCAGATACGTCGACAACCGCGTCCTTCTTTTACCTGCACAGCTGACCCGACTGCCTCCTTTTGCACAGCTTACTGACGCATCTTTCTACAAACCACCGGTTCAGCTTGAAACTGAACCGGCCAACATTTTCCTGGGTTTCGCCATAAACCCTCAGCACAGCAGCCTTACGCATCAATGCACTTTGCACAAGGCGGATATTTTACACCCACAGTCAGCCACCTCTGTTGCAACACTTCGCAGCAGTTTTCAGGCCCGCACACGCATGGTACGCAGAGTGACAACACCATGCAGCGAGGCCACATCAGCCATTCGAGCCATGCGCGATCTCTACATCGCTGCCGGCTATACTGATCAACAGCTGTAAGCAAAACACTGTGCCAAGTTGCCGTGCGTGTGTCCAGAGCCATGCAACTTTGCAACATGAGAGCCGCCTTGTATCAACACAGTGCTTCCCGCAGCCATTTACAGGGTTAACTGAGGCATCATCATGTATAAAAGTGCCATGACTGGCAGATTGCAGCCGAGCCACAAAGCGCTGAGCGGCCGTCCTCGGCCATCCATCTCCAAGCATAGCAGACGCCGCAACGAGCAACCTGCGGTTGGCAGCCACAATCAACAGCCGGCGCTTTTGCGCTCTCAGTTCCTACGTGTTGCAGAAGACGAAGATTTCCAAGATTACCAAGAGCAGCACCAAGATCCGGAAGAACAGCAGGACGCAGCAGTGGCTGCACCGGCGACCCCGCCATTTCCACCTCCGCATCATTCTGATCCGGATTCATCGACTGAGATTATGGCAGCAATAACGCAGTTTCACAATTCGTTGCTTGAATCGAATGCCAAACTCGAGCGCCTGATACAACAGGCTACAACGGTGTTGACCACTCAACACGAGGCTACCACGGCGATCCTCGCCTCGTGCAAACAGCAGCTCGACGTACTCGAAAGCCTCATCAGGCAAAACGCGCCTGATTGGTCGTGAATATGCTGCTAAGGTACGCTGGTATAAAAAGAGCCAGGTAGTGCACACTTCTCGCATTTCAACACATGTTGCTTTCAGACACACACCATAACTTTGCCTTCTGAAGTTTTTGCCTCAGAGTGACACCTATCGGAATCCCGACATCGAGCCATGAGCGAAGCATCTCTTCCGACAAACACAGTGACTACAGATTCGCCACCCGTCGATGAGTCACGACGTGAAGCTCTCTCCGAGGCCCTCATGGAGATTTTGACACAGCATCGGGACTATGATTCCGAAACTGGAAGTGAACCTTCCACATTCAGTGACGAGGCTCTACGCGACCAATTAGCCGAGTTTATTCTGCAAACAACCCGGCAGATCACAGAGCTAAAGCAACGAGTGGAAAGACTCGAAGCTTCGCAACAATAGGTGATCAACCATGTTCATACCACCATTGGGTGCTTTGCAGCGGACGGTTAAAACAACGATTGTCGTTGTTGCCAATTGTGACAGTCAGTGCACTCACTTCACATATGTTTGGTATGCAGCGATTGATGCACTCTTTCCCGCAGCATTTTGCAAAACAACCAGTTGTGTTAGCACCATGGAACAACGCACCAGATCGCGATCTCCCACGGCATCACAATGGAGATGGCATTGGGCCACTAACGGCTCTTCATGGTGGCGTGAGTACTTTATCGCATCTCAAGAGTGGATACGAAAGCATTCGGAGCAACCTGATCAGCGTCCGACATCAACGACTCCTACCCAAAAGGAGACAGTATCTACTACATCAACTCCTACATCCAACAAGAGAAAGCGGTCAAGAACTCCGTGAGCAACATTGCTGAGTTGACAATTAGATGCACATTTGCTGCCCCCGGCAGCCAACAACCACACAGCAAAGCTGTGCTGCGAACTCCATCATTCCTGATGAGGTTCAACATTAAGAGCATCATGTTGAAAGGTCATGCCGGTCGGCGAGGTTGCTCAATTGATGTCTCTGTGTACCTCTCTCTCTCTCTCTCTCTTCTGAAGATCAGCGTATGCACATGCCTCAATGCAGTTGTGACTCCGCAGCCATTTCTCAGAACTACAGTTGCTGAAACATATTTAGGATCGCACACAGATGGACGAGGACGACGACAGCAGCCTATGGGGATCCGAAGAGATTGATGCCTTCCTGAGGAAGGATGACACCACCACATCCTCCCATGCAGTCAGTCACACACACAAGCAAAAAACAAAGCACACAACGAGGACAAAAAAGAAGAAAGACAACAAAGACAAAAAGGACAAAACAGTCATGAAAACAAAGAAAACACGCAACATCTCACCACCATCCCAATCCACAACACAGCAACGACGCCAACATCCACATACTACAAGACGAAAGAGGACACGCTCTTCGCATTCAACATCATCAGCGTCACCTACGGCAACGTCACACATGGCTGAGGACGCACACCGGTCTCCATCTCGAGATCCTTGGTCTTCTGACTCGATTGCACCTTACGATATTGTGCATCCTACTATTCAGCACAAGCGGTCCAAAACCGCTTGTGCAAAAATGCTGGTACGTGCAGGTTTTAGGTGTCGATGCCATTTCAAGATCATGAGTGACTGTCCCAACAAACTCGCTGTTGGACCCTAATTCTCAGGACGGATTAGGGCTGCAAGATCCGCTAAGCGTGACAAAAAGCCTGCGCATGCGAGTGTCAGGACGACACCACTTTGTTGTTTTGCCAGAGCACACATCATGTCCATGTTGATTTGCATTCCTTGTTCAAGCTTTTGTCGGTTGGTAGCAGCAAAAATATGACAAAGCGAAAGGCTGCCGAGGCCGGCCTTCCATGGTACTCCATGGCAGGACAATGTTTTCGGATGACTGTTGAAATTCCACCCGACCGCATCACCAGAGACAAGCACATGTTCTTACACGTGGTGCTTTGTCTGGGTGACAACGTTCTCCAAGCTCGCAAGATCTTCTCCTACCGCATCAAGGAGATCACCGGCAGAACTCCTAAAATCCCAGCTTTCTTCTTCGAACAAAACCGTCGACGACTACATGATTGGGATTCAGTCACCACATTAGCCACGTTGATGCCGGTGCTTTTTGTTAGAACCTATTCGGATCAGGAAATACGACAATCACCTGATCGCTATTGACAGCGAGAAAAGTGCGCCATTCACTCCTATTGCCGCGCATCAGACCTTTCACTCTACTTGAAGCATGTACGCCCCATTGGGGCTGTGTGTGTGTGAACCTCCCTAGCACATGGGAGCAGAGGGTCACTCCTACACTGTTTGCAATTTCGCTTTTCAACATAATCCGGCATTGGACATTTACCAAATCAACTGTTGCAGGGGAGTGTGGCACTTGCGTCCTACCACACTCAACGAAGCTGTGGATGCAAGTGGGAAGCGGGACCTGATCAGTCCTGTGTACCTGCATGGCAGCCCCCTGTGGTGCCAAGATTAGTTTTGAGGACAGGCCCCCTGTGGTGTCCAGATTAGACAAACAAGTTGTACGGTTGCCACAATCTGACAAAACTTTGCAACATGAACAACATGCCTCTCTCTTTTCCTCTTGCACTCGTACTCTTGGCCGAATCCATCAGTGTGTGTGTGTGTCTGTGTGTGTGTGTGTGTGCGTGTGTGTGTGTGTGTGTGTGTGTGTGGACCTCTGTTACCAAGAGGAACCGTTTTTGATACACGTTGGACAGTAGTGCTGAATTGCTGAAAATAGCAGGGGGGTACGGCTCTCTGATGCTACCGCACCCAACGAAGCTATGCATCAGAGAGGGAAACCAAGCCTGATCAGCTTGGTGTACCTGCAAGTGTTTCTGCAAGTGTCGTTGCAAGTGATATGGCTCGGGGCTAAGCCTAAAACCCCAATAGAATCGAATGTGCAGGTTTGGAGGAGTTTGCCTTGTACAGTGAATAAGTCGGAGATCAAGTGAAGATGAGCCTTGAGGCCAGATAGGTACCGGACCCCCTGGAAGCTTCATGCTTTCGAGATACATCAAGCTGCGCTTGATAATCAGATTGATTAGTGGCTGCGCGATGGATGTCTAAGTGTGTCCCAGGTAGTTACAAGCTGGTCTTGTATTCGTTTACCGCGCTACCTGCGGCGGGGTTAGCCCGTGCGAGTACCTGCCAGGGTGGATCTGATAAAGGCAGGGATACATTGTTTTGGGCCCGTCGTGGTCCTCACAGGTCCGACTGAATTTGCTGCTCCGATGGTGCAGACATCTGATTACTTCAGTCGTGATGTTTTCTCCGCTCCTGACTTAATGTCAGGTTTGATGCCAGGTTTCATTGCAGGTCCTGAATTTTTGCAGATCCGATGGAACCAACGGCTTTTCTATCCGCAGACCACGATTTCAGCTCCGAGACACAATCCTGTAGCAATCTCTTGCGATCATGTCGTGGGCCCGTGAACAAGATTGGGCCAAGTCGTCCTGGGCTAGTTCGTCTTGGGAGAAGAAAGGATCGTCGGGTTGGAACAACCGTGACTGGCAAAAATCTCCTCAACAGTCTGTTCCCAGCACCAATGTTGCCATCCCATCGTCTTTTACCAGTGACTGGGAGTGTTACGACAAGAATGCTATTTCTGGCAAGAAGTTCTTTCGTAACATCCAATCCACGCCCTGGTCTACGAAAGCTGGACTGGCTGGAAAAGATGTCGCCGATCTTCGTGTCTCAGACCTGACGAGAAAAGGTCTTGATGACTTCAGTCTCCGCTGTTTGTCCAATGGAGAATTTCAGAGCCTAGTGTTCGTGAGGTCGATTTCAGAAGCAGTGTTTGTGACTAACCTGCTTCGTCACATTCGGCAAGACCGGATTGATCTTGATGCCGTGGCGGCAAATATGCACGGCCCAGCTCCGCCTGACAAGCACAGGGAGTCTGCGAGATTTATGCAACCATTGCTTGGCGAAATTGTTTCAACAATCAAAGCCAATTCGCCCCCTCCGGCGGATTCAAACCAGCAATCGCCTGAGAGTGAACAGCTTGCTCGTGCGAAGCGAAAGTTGAAGGAAGCTGGGATTGCTCTTACTCCAGAGAAGAAGCAGGCCAAAACTGGCCCAAAGCCCACCGCTTCACCATCACCGTCAGCTGAGCAGATTTTGAATGCGGAACTCCAGAATCCGCCGAACTCTGTTCCGAGTTCCAGCTCTCCTGATGTTGTTGAGAACTGGCTCAAGAAGCATCAGAGCCAGTTTCGTGGTCAAGCTGCAGCTTTCAAGAAACATGTGGCTGATGTTTGCTCTGTGCTGAAAGATTCAGCCACTGATCGGCAAAGCCTGGCAGATCTTGCTATCAAGTACGGCTTGAAGAAAAGCCATGCCAGCAAGATGTCATTCACCAATTTGTCTTCGTTCATTGGTGCATGTCAGTTTGAATCAGCTTGACTAGCTACCCAAGCAAAAACGGTGCGACACCAGCCGATTCAGGTCCGTAAGAGGCTTGCTTCAGCAGTGTGCACGCTTGGTACAGCAGCAGCCTTCATGTTGGAGTTTGGCGATGGAATACCCATGGCTCCGCTGATTTGGGTGCATACATTGATGTCGTTGGTGTTGTTGTTTTACCTCAATGCACCCAGCCAAGATGATTCACACAGATTCAAGATTGTTCGGAGATTGCAGCAGTTCGGAGTGGATCCAGATACTCTGCATTATTCTCTGTTTGAGAAGCCGAACACTGTATATTGCATTTTTCAAGTTGATTTCGACATGGGTCGATTTCGTTCGGGCTACCGTCAGCCCTCATCACTTCTGTATGTGGGAAGCACTGCTGTCGGTGCAGCCAAGCGGCATTTGAACCGCATGGCAGTTTACAGAAGACTTCAAAGAACCGAATTTGTGGATGCAGAATTGTCCCTGAGATATTGGGCATCCCAACACAACCTTTTCCAGTTTGTGCTTGTTCCGCTGGAATTTTGTGACAGCTACCCGCGAGCTTGGACTGTTGAGCATGAACTCATTGCTCAATGGCAGGCACCTTTGAATTATCCCAGAGCAATGTCTTTCATTAAGAAGACCGCTCTCGGTTTCCGGATTTCGTCCAAACGCAGAGGGTCATTGTATTGCACCTTTGGCCTCCGACTTTGGCGCAAACTGCGAAAGCGCATGTTTGGTCGCAGTTCGAAATTCTTCATTCATGACTCTCGGGAGTTAGCCTGGGGACTTCTGTTTAAGATGGCATCGAGAACCCGAGCATCCTTTGAAACAGCGAAGCTGCTCCGATCCAACAAGACGGCTGACGAGGAAGTGTATGCCCTCATCAAGCTCAGTCGCAATATCGAAAACCCTCATCGCAACAGGGTGCAAGGAATACTCAAAGGTGTAGTCAAGTTTCGCAAGAAGATGCACTGGCCACGGACCTCCCGACCTTTGGGAGTCCTGCCAACTGCGTCTCCTTCGTTTTCCAAGGAGTGCGAGAAGTGGTTACAAGACCTCATCCTCCGGTACAAGTATCTTTTTCCATCTTTTCATGTTCCAAAGAACAGCCTACGTGAAGTTCCGCACCAGAGTATCAAGAAATTTCTCCACAACTTCCGATCTTGGGAAGAAACGATGTGGGAGCACGACTTTGATTTGGAGTCGGTGCACTGTCCGTGTGAGCAGTTTGCAGGAAAACTTCCTGTTCATTGCTTCGTGTCTGGCCACGTAGCCACAGGTTTGGAGAACCTGACCAAGCTACTACCAGGCTGTTCGAGCATCTTATCGGCCAGTGCCGCGAGCACCTTTTTCCCAGGCCGCAATCACTGGATGGCCAAGTCCAGAGCTCTGTTTGATCAGTGGCTCAAGAGACACAAGCTACCAGCGACGTTGCATCCAATTTTTCAATCCTTTTGCGATCACCAGTGGCAGCAACACGTTGCAGCCCTGGAACAATCAGACAGACTACACTGGGCTTTGGTACAGAAGGTGAAGTCTGCCTTGCACTCGGATTTTGTTCTGTACAACGAAGATCATCATCCGAATCATGTCGAGTGCTATTGTCCTCGCTTCTTCCTTCGAGGAGTCAGCACCACATGGAACGATCCTTCTGTGTTTCGTACTCTTGATGGTACCCCTGAAGAATGGAGACAGCGCATTTTGAAGCGCGTTCCTCGAGATCTGTCCAGAAGATACGCCTGGGCCTTCAAAGAAGCAGCTCCGCTGCCCCAAGGCACTGTGTTCCTGAAACGGAAGAAACAGTTTGCCAAGGGACGGACCATCATTTCGTACTCCAATTCGTTGTGCAGCAAGCTATTGGAGCTGACTTCCATTGCGTTAACCTTAATGGTCAAGACGCTGTTTGCTGACAGCCCAGGCATGCAGAGCATGCCACAACTCTGGAAGTCTCTTCATGCTTATTGGGCGAAGCCCAGCCAAGAGGAAGACGTCGAATGGAACGACGATCTCGTGGGATTTTTCAACGCAGTTCCCCGAAAAGATATCATGCACGCAGTGCATTTGATTGTCCAGGAATACTGCCAAACTTCTGGCTGTTCGATCCTTTCGATCGATATGTTGTCAAAAACGGGACACCCGGGCAAACCTCGGGGGAGAACGAAATCAAACTTAAAGAGGTGTTGGGTTTCCGATGTTCCGCTGATTGTGGATCTATCCTTCGCCACGGGCGTTTTTACAGCTGCTGGAAAGTGCAGGCAGCAAGTGGAGGGGACGTGTATAGGCAATCAAATATCTCCGATCCTCTCCGGACTTCCTGTAATCCTGGCCGAGCGGCAGTTTTTGCAATCCTTGCCAACAGCCATCCAATCGTCTTTCTTGTTTCTCCGTTACGTCGATAACAGACTGATTCTGGGACCTCAGAAAATTCTACTATCGTCCCAACTCCGGAGATTCTGCGATCCCAACTTTTATGATGGGATTCAGTTGGAAACTGTGTCAGACCATCAATGGTTGGGCTTTACCATTTGTGCCAAGACTCGCTCAGCAACTTTTAATCTCCCGGAGCAACCGTGGCAGATCCGCTCGCCCAACAGTGCTGGATCGTGGCAGCTGGCAGCCTCGGGATACTTTTCTCGAGCATCTTTGATTCGCCAGTATTCCTGGCCCCCCGAGTCAAGACCGGGACAACTTCGCAGACTCAAGCAACTGTATGTACAGGCAGGCTTTCCTGTGAATGCGTTGCAATGAAGTCAACAAATAAGTCATTCGATTGAGAGTTTCGCTGCCTCTTTGCAATGTTTTGTGTGTTCCTAATTGTGCACGTGAGCTACTGATTCAGCACCATAGCTGCATTGGTTTTCAGCTGGGTATCGGCCTGTTGAAGGAATATTTCAATCTCGAGCCATGGCTCAGCAATACCATTTTCACTTCTACGGAGGACCCCCTGGAGTGCAGACTTCAAGCGGACCACAACCTCCGGTTACAATTCTTTCGACTCCTCAGGAAGCTAGTAGAGCTCGGTCGGTTTCGGTACACCCACCACCTCGAGCTCCGCTTCCAATTCAACTCGCACCGGGTGAGCCGGCCATGTCTACTCACCCCAGCCGTGAGCGTCATGATCGCAGTCGCTCGAGACGACGACGGCGTCGACATCATCGGCATGAACGTCACCCTGAGGGACCTCCCGCGGCCCCAGTTCGACCAGTCCTGCCTCCCCCTCAGCCTCCCACTCGACCACCAACAAGGTCGGTCAGTGCAGTTCCTCCGATGCGCCCACCTTTTCGTTCTGCCAGCTTAGAAAACATGCCACCCCGGCCCAGACCGAGATCTATTGAGCCGGCTTCTGTCCGTTCCCGGCCTCATGAAAACAAAGGGCCCAGCAACAGTCCACAGCGACCGCCGGGGCAATGGGTACCTAGTGTTCCTGCTGGGACTCTGAGCCAAAGGCCAGTAACACCCAGAGTTCGAGCTCCTGCTTCACATTCTCAAGCAGCCACTGATGCATTACATCGGGCTGCTCAAGCTTTTGGAGCTCCCGGCAATGCACAAAGCAAACCGGAGACAGGCCCGATTTTGAATAACAAGGAGCCTGTCGCGGCAGCTCCCTCACCGGATTTTCACAAGAACACGTCGCCCAAGACACCTCCCAAGAATCCGGCTCCAAAGAGCCCAGTTCCTCCTGCTCAATCCGGTTTGATTTCTGTTGATGAGGAACAGCTATTTCATGCTGCTCATCGCAGCAGCTATGAACAACTGCGAGAGCAAATCACAGCTCGAGCCAAAGGCCGCAATGCTGTCGATTTCTATGAGGAGGGAATGAGTTCTCTCTTGGCGTATATGTTCTTTGTTTTGCATTATCATGAGAATTTTCTCACAACTGAAGGCTTGCATACGTGGCCTATTATCCCACATTCTCATATGCGAAGATTCACTGATCGCATCACTTTTACTCGGCAACGTTCATTGCCAGTTTCCAAAATCCTCAAAGAGGATGTTGAGGATGTGCTGAAATTTTTGTTGACCCGATTTGGCCAGGCAGACCGACCTTTTCTGCCTGTGATTCCTATTGGCCAACGGGAGATTGTCACTCTTGCCCGGTCCATTTTGGCCAGCAAGATACCATATAAGGCAGTTTTTCAGCATGATGCCAAGGCGTATGCCATGCCCCAAGAAGCATTGCATGTTTGGGAGTTTCCAGTGGCAAATATGCCAGGCCCTGAAGAGCAGACCAATTGCTATTATCTTTGGGGACACGGGACCACGGCCGAAGGCCTGGTCGGCATCCTCACGTTGGGCAGGGTCATTCGCTCTACCGCCGAAGCTGTACATGTGGCGCCGCACGATCATGTGTGCTCCTTTTATGGCAAAGCCACACAAAACGTGTACTACGAAGAGAGCAAGTTAGACTTCGTGTCAAAACTGCACCACTCCACGAAGAATTCCGCAGGAGTGGTCGTGGGAGGATATCTTGGATCTGCGCATCACAAATCCAAATCCTCCAGTACTGTACATGAAGGACACTTGTGCAAGTTCCACCCGCTTGTACACTCCCCTTCAGGAGATAAGCGCTGGGCGGTACGTGAAGCCGCAGGACGCATTGACAAAATTTGGATTTTGTCAAGCACCCATTCCATTACGTTGCCGATGTCCACCCCCAACAATCCCCGGCCGATTACTTTTGAAACGGGGGAAGGACAGGATTGGGGAGTCAGCTGGCCTGGCTTGGAGTACTCTGTACGAAGCACCGAAGCTTTACCGGTCTCCGATGTACAGAGAGAGGCTTAAGATTTATGGAGTCCGTCATGCATGAAAAAAGACTGGTGCAATACAGAATGTATATGCAGAAGAGTCTTGCATGCAATGTGTCTGCTTAGGTTTTTCAAATTGCTTTGTTCAGTTCCAGCGTTCGGCTTTCAGCGGTACACGCCATGTCGGATCGATCCCGATCGCGTTCTCCGACTGTTTCGTGGCGATTTTATTGGGTCAAAATTCAAGAACCCAGTGGCAATGAAACGTGGTGGAAATCTTGGTTTCCCGCCACCTCTCGCTGGATTTCGGATCGTTTGGCTGCTGACAATCAGTGGCACCAGGCTTCTCAGACCACTTCTTCGGTGGACTTGAACCTCCCTACTGAGAGCGCCAATTCTTTGTCGCCCCGAAAACGCAAGCGAGATGCATCACCGTGAGAGCTTTTGTCATGCTGGAACAGCAGACGATCTGTCTGCTTAATTCGTTTTCCCAATTGACATTTTTGGGACTTTCATCATTACTGGATTAGAGCGCCTGCACCACTAACGTGGAACCGTCTTTGCGCATTGCAAAACAGCGCGTAGGAGCGTTACGCTCAGTTTTATGTCTTTTTCGCCCTTTCTCTCTCCCCTTTCTCTTTCTGTCTCTCGTTGAGCCGAAGGCGTTTTTCCCTTTTTTACTCATGTGGTACCGCCAGCCGTTTCCGTCTTGATTTCTCGACACACCGGCATGGCTTCCCGTCAAGACAACGGGGTACCATATGATGAACTTCCAGATGATGCCAGTTCCTGGTCTTCGGCTTTCGATCCTCCCAAAGACTCCGCACCCACAGAGGTGGCGTCTTGGGTTAAGAAGTCCTCCAACAAGTGCAAGAAGACCAAGAAGTCCAAGAAGTCCAAAAGGCTGAAAAAGGACCGGTCACCAAATAAGTCTCAGCAGTCCATGAAGTCCAAGAAGGACAAACGTGAGCGTTCGCCTGTTCCCTCTGAAGCGAGTGATATCACGCTTGGGGATCCGATGCAGTTTCACCGAAATCCTGCAGCACAGTCGAAGGCTTGTGCAAAAATGCTGGTCAGAGCCAACCTCCGTTGTGCTTGCCATTTTTGGTATGTTGCACAGTGTCCCAACCGAAACGTTTGATTCTTATTTTGATTTGGACACCGGACGTGTACAGGATTACATGTCACTTGCTGGAAAAAACTACCAGTGATTCTTGGCACGACCTTGTGACCTGACTTACATTTTTCTGTCCTGCATACAGTGAGAGCACTCGCCTGTACAGTTTTCTTGCTCCCACGCATCAGCGACCCAGTGTACGTGTAGCTTTATCCGCCATGAAACGAGATGCAGCACAAGCGTCGCTTCCACCTGATGGCGGTAAAGATGATGATCCACTTATTCTCCCTCGGACACCAAAACATCTGCCTCCGCTGCGGATGACCCGAGGATTTTGGATTGAAAATTTGCCTTCTGATGGCCGCCATCATGGTGCCACCGTTGCATGTTTCGACATTCCGGCCGAAGGCATTATCGACGACCTTAAAGAGGCTATTAGTTTGGAGTGGAATCGCATCCCCAAGCGTACGTTTAAACTCACGCAAAGCGGGACTCATTTACCGTACTATGTCAAACTCAGTACTGTCAACAACACAGTACCATTGACCTTTCACTGGGCTGAGCCATATTCGGACGAAAACCGTCCTCGTTTGGAGTCCAGACCCTAGGTCGTTTCGCCTTAGTGGCTTACTGTGTGTGTGGACCTCTGTTACCAAGAGGAACCGTTTTTGATACACGTTGGACAGTAGTGCTGAATTGCTGAAAATAGCAGGGGGGTACGGCTCTCTGATGCTACCGTACCCAACGAAGCTATGCATCAGAGAGGGAAACCAAGCCTGATCAGCTTGGTGTACCTGCAAGTGTTTGTGCAAGTGTCGTTGCAAGTGATATGGCTCGGGGCTAAGCCTAAAACCCCAATAGAATCGAATGTGCAGGTTTGGAGGAGTTTGCCTTGTACAGTGAATAAGTCGGAGATCAAGTGAAGATGAGCCTTGAGGCCAGATAGGTACCGGACCCCCTGGAAGCTTCATGCTTTCGAGATACATCAAGCTGCGCTTGATAATCAGATTGATTAGTGGCTGCGCGATGGATGTCTAAGTGTGTGTGTGTGTGTGTGTGTGTGCGTGTGCGTGTGTGTGCGTGTGTGTGTGTGCGTGTGTGTGTGTGCGTGTGTGGGTGCGTGTGTGGGTGCGTGTGTGGGTGCGTGTGTGGGTGCGTGTGTGGGTGCGTGTGTGGGTCTGTGTGTGTGTGTGTGTGTGTGGGTGTGTGTGTGTGTGTTTGTGTTTTTGTGTTTTTGTGTGTTTGTGTGTTTGTGTGTTTGTGTGTGTTTGTGTGTTTGCGTGTTTGTGTGTGTGTGTGTGCGTATGTGTGTGTGTGTGATGTGTGTTAGAGTGTGTGCACGCGCATGGGCTGCTGCGGCCGAATGCAGACAAAACTACATGCTAAAAAAACTCTCAGCCTCAGCATCAAAGGCTGCACCTTTGTAGCGTGACAGGGATCCAGTCTGAGGCAAAGTTGCCAAAATCCCTAGCTCGGCGTCAAGATCGGCTAGCTGTGGAATGACCGCACCACGCAGAAGCACCGTCCTTCTCGAATGCTCCGGGCGCGATCTTCCAGCTACGAAGTCCAAAGCCAGTCGAGCAATGTGAACAATTCCCAAGCTCAGCAAACAAAACCACGACCACCTTGCGCCGGGTGCCATCGCTCAGCGTGGTACGACGTATCCTTCCTATAGAGGCGGGCGATAAGATGCTTATTCCAGAGATTACACATCAGCGCCAGAATACACATCACGCAAGCCCTAATCCCCAAGGTGACTATGGATTTGTTTGATCTTTGCCGGAAACGTCGAAACTTAAGGAAAGCTCGCGGACGCCGGTGCTTTCGGCACGCAAGGCTTCTTACGTGACGCGATTACACCCTCAAACTCCTTTTTGAAAACAACAACTGATAAAATAATGTCTCTGACTGACCACCGGGAACCCAGTGTGGAGGCCGAAACGGTTGATGCTTGAATGCATGCCAGGCCGGGCTCCGAGATGCGCAACCCCAGTGTGGACTCCAAAATGCACAACCCCAGCCCCGGCGCTGAAACAGTTGATGTTTGAATGTATGCCAGGCCAAAATTAGATTGCTTAGGCCCAATGTGGATGCTTGAAAGATGTGTATCATGGGATATCATGTGAGTCAAAACCTCCCCTCGTACTGGCTAAACGCTTGTACTTGCCATCGCGTCTTGAGCCGACCGGCCTTTCAATCAGAACAATCAGTGCGCACACGCTGCATGGCAGCAACCACCGAGATTTACCGAGGCAAAGCAGATTCTAGCATTCTAGCAGCATCGTAAGTTTTGCTAGTCTTGCGCTCCGCCCGTGCCCTTGTCAGCTGCTTGCTTCTTGTGGCCCATGTTGGAACAAATTCTCCACAACCCGTAGCCCAAACAAACCGTGACAATGAAGCAAACCTCTTCTCAGCAGCAAGTTCTAGTGCCTTGCTCTGTCGGGCCCAGGTGGTGGAGCAGATCCAGCAGAAAAGGCTGTGTGATCTGCACCCAATCTCCGGTAGGCGGAGATCTCAAACTAATTACAAATTGGTGCTCACGGAAATGGCTTGCTGTTGCTCCTTCCCACTCACGCTGTGTCCCCACACTCTCCGACCTGTGAACCAAGACAAGGGGCTTTTCCATTACAAGCGAAGGCAAAGCCGACTGGCCTGCAGCCCCAAGTCACACCTCGGGACTCTTGCAGCCTGCACGAGATCTAGAGATGCAGAATCCGCGGCACTGAGTCTCGAACTCAGATGCTATTTCAAGCTCTAGAGGCGCGTCGGCGTCTGGAAACAGCTCGAGAGCTCGGAAATTCTGAAAAGCGGCGTGGCATTGGCCTGGACGAGAGGACCGAGTGGCGATCTCCACGCGCTTGCTGGCAACAGCCCGGAGCCGCTCCAGCAAAGCCTTACAGTAGCAGCTCGCGGCTCGCGGTGATCTAATAAGCATTTCTGGGATCTTATTCCCAGTAAGCCGGGAGCTGCGGGGTTCGGTGCATCTTCCACGCGATCTTCGGACAGCACAGCCTGAGAAGGTCTGACCGCTCCCTCTCTAGGGTGATTAGCCGGACGGACAGGTCGCAGAATTGCAAACGCAGAGGAGTGGTCGGCATTTCAACTTCGAGGGGCTCTCTCGATCAATGCAATGAAGTGCTGGAAGTCTGTTTGCATGCGCTCCACCGTGCGCTCCTCACTCTGCACTCTCACCGCCGTTAAGACAGCTGTCGTGACCATGAAACTCCATGAAACGTCCTGCATCTGCCGCCTTCGCTCTTCTTCCATGCGGGCTGCGAGGTACTCCTCCTTCTTGCGTGCATTGCATACTGCTGTGTAACCGGGCCCTCAACACTGAGGCACCCAACTACTCCTTGCTTCCTCCATTCCACCGAAGTTCCCTGTTTTCCCATCAACAGTAAACGTGCGTAACCCTCTGCGCCGAGGAACTAGCACCTGCGCGTGGGCAGAAGCACGCAAAATCGATATTACGAGTATGTTCAGTTCTCCTGTTAGAAGAAACAGCACAAGCACATGCCATAGTCTAGGAAATGTCCGTTGAGGAAGGAGGGAGTGAAGGGTAACATGCGATAAATCCCCGGTGGGAACCCTGGCTGTATTGTTGACAAAGGCAAGCACTGCATGATTAATGAGGTTTAAGTTCAAGCAAGCACCGCTTCGTCAAACGTTTTTCCGATGATGTGGCTGCTGTGCTCGAACGATCTCGTGCACCACTCTAAGTCGCTAATCGCTTGCGCGTTGCCGGCAAACTCACGCCCGTCCGAGATCAGGAGGTCCGGTGGTCCGAATACGGAGTCTGGCAGCTCCCGCAAACCATATAATCCAGCCGGCTTGGTGACCGGATCAAGCTTTTCGAGGCAACCATTTTGAGCAAGGCCTTTGCAAAGCTCGGTTGCCGGAGATCGCGCCTGGCGGCCACCGACCAATGAGCCCTCTCAGCCGTGCATGCAGAAACCGGCATAGACCTCCACATCATCCATTGCCACCTTGCCGCATGGCATCCTCCTGGCTTGTCTTCTTCACTGGGGAGGCACCCTGGCTCGTCGCCATTTTGGCGAAAAGACTCATTTTCATCGCGGATGGTGTCGACTGCTGGCTCCAGTCTTCAACAGCTTTCCCAGTCTGGAGACGAATCCTGATTTAGGATCCATGCCTGCCAGCCGCCCACTTCGAGAATTACACACTTGGGCGAGTTCCACTTTTTTCCGGTTCCCCCAGTCGCTTCAGAGACCTCTCATTCCGGCTCTTGCACCACGGTCACTCACTAGTGGTCTCTCCGAAACCTCATACAAGGACAACCTCACCGTCACAAAGTCCAGGATCGCCGTCGAAGTCGCCACGCCACAAAGCAAATTTTCACCCGCCACAACACTGGATCGAAACCACTCGCTGCCAGTAGAAAGTGACAGCGGCGAAAACCCTTTGGTGCAACCCTGGGCCCGCTTCACCGCAGCCACAGCGGCTGTTCAGCAGGATCACAGGTCGTGCAACATCGTGCAACTGCTGAAAAGCTCGCGGATTGAGTGTTAGATCTACGAGAATGGCTGACTCATGCTCGGAATCCAGCACGTACGTACCCCCGACCCTCCACAAATACCGTCATTGCAGAAGTAGGAACGCTCCGACCCGTCCTCGTGAGGATTTGACCGAGCCCCGCGAGCGGAACTCGGTTGGCATCTACCAGTGCGAAACTCAATGGTGCATGATGGCACACGCGAGTCTTGGGTGTGCGGGGCTGAGTGGGCGACGCCGGCTTTCGAGTTGGCGTCCCCGGACGCTTGGGTGTTCGCGTTTCTGAACCTCTCCGTCCGGGTTAAGAAGTGGAAGTCTTCTTACCTCTCCTGCTGCCTCTTGCATTGGGCGTCTCAGGTCCCCAGGGGCTGGCTGAAACAGATAACTGATCACCTGACACGACAAGCAAGAGCAAAATGGAGCTCCCTGCTGTCCGTCGCCGTGCCTACACTGTGCGAATGCGAGAAGGAGGCCAAGGCTTCAAGCAAACCCTCTCCTTTGCGTGACACCTGAGGCACAGCAGCTTCCCACTTGCGTTTCCCACGTAAGCCCACACAACATCCTGTGAGTACGTGGCTCCCAGCTGGGTGATGCGTTGCTTCGCCTCTCACGGAAAAGACCCGTCGCGGGAACAAATGAGTGACATCCAACCATCGCCATTGACCTTCTTTAGCTGCTCGCGTAATTCTTTGTTCTCCTTGCACGGGTGTGCAGCACGAATAGTCTATCGTACATGCGGTCACACAGCTGTACAAACGCCCGCCTCCTTCAAATTTACCATGTGTCGGATCTTCTGCCTCGGTGACACGACGATGCAGCGATGATCTGGCCACCCATCGGTCGTCGCTCGCAGAATGTGGCTTGCGCCTACGGCATCGCCACGGCATGGGTAGCCGTGCAAGGCTTGCGGACACTCCAAGACAAGAAGACGGTGACGAAGCAGCTGCTGCAGATTCATGTTCGCCACCCAGTTTTGCGGCGTCAGTGCCATCGTTTCGGGCATGGACAGCACTCCTCACACTACCTCACCTTCATCGTCGGATTCACTCTCCTCCTGTCAACCCATCCGTGCTGCCCGTGTCGCTAAGCAACAAAGCAGCATGTCACCTCATGCCTAAACTGCCGTCCTCAGAGCTCTCGTCAGATGCATATTGAGATAGACCTTGAAGGCCATGCTCTTCGGGACTGGGCGAACCTGACCAAGAGAGAAAGAGGCGATGCTAACAGTTGGGCAAGTGTGCACGTGCCAAGCCTTTGCCTTCTGCATCTTCAGCTGTCAAGCTGGCATTAACAACGGGCTCAGCTGGTTCAAGGTCCCACTTCTGCATCTGCATGGTCTGTGCTTGATCTCCGTTGTCTTCCTGACCGTTGCCTGGCCTCAAACAAGCGAAACACATGCCCCTGTGGCACATGCCATGACCAGGGTCGAGCCTGCGAACCCGCAGTACTTGCGGCAGGGTTGGACGTTCGGAAGATGACACCTCTCTCCGTTGCTCACTCGCGTGACAATCATGGTCGGGTTGGATGCTCTGGCCTTATCAGAATACGGCGAAGGGGCAGCGACCAAAGCCGACAATGCTTCAGCACGAGCCTGACGAGCGCTTTGTGCTCGTATGCCTGTTGGCTACCTACACTGCACACACAGCACCTGAGCTGGAGTTTGAAGAACCGACTGTGGCATCTTATTGCAAAGACTGCATGGCTCCTCCTCTTGCAATCGGCGATATTCGCCGGTTTCGTCCTGCTCGAACATCCGTCGTTGGTTTAAAGATTTCCACAAACATGGACGGCCTCTCCAATAAACCACGCAAGACTGTCTCAAGCGGCGCCTTCAAGCGCTTTGCAGCTGGGTCTGCCAACCGCAATGCCTCAGTAGTGAATGCAGCCATCCCCATGCTCCAATGATCGGTGAGATTTCAATTTGAGCAACTACCCAAGCTGTCCAGGCGCGACCGCTGTGGAGGCAGCTAGCAGCTAGTCGAGAGGAACCGTATAGCTTACGTGCTAAGCAGTGCGGCGAAGTTCACACTCGACTCTCGAAATCTTCACGGCTCCGATTGGTTGGCACTTCGGTTGTTTCTATCCATGCTGGTTCTTGAGTGTTTGTAGATTGAGGTTTTAGGTAGTGTGAAGTTCGTAGGCCTGCATGACTCGCGGCACTCTCACCACCTTCAAAGCTCAGGCAAGGGCTGCGTTTGCTTCTTCGGTTGCAAAACGCGGTGCCTGCTTGTCTCCTACCTGCCATTGCCATGGGGCAGTGTGATAAGCCCCTGCCAAACTCGAGCATCTTTTCTCTGCCTTGGCCTGAAGCTGCCAAATGAGGCTACGTTTGTCGCAGGCCAACCGTTTCAAGAGCAGTGTCTTGCCTCAGTCGCTAAGGATCCACGAGTATTGGTCCGATGGTTCTGGGCCCTTTGCTCTTACTACTGACATTGTCCTCCAGCCTCACCTGGCATAACGACAGCGGCCAAAAACTGAAGCACACTAAGGGAAGGCCTGATCTTCTTCAAGGCCAAGTAGTGTTCGAAGAAAGCCGCTGAGTTCGCGGTTCCCTCGCCTGGAAACCACCAAAACCTTCACCACTCTCGCATGGAGGGAAGCCGCGGACCCCCGTTTGTTCGGCTCGCCGATGCAAACCACGATCACGTCGGAGTTTATCTGAACAGGCTTCGACAATATCCGAGACGCGCAGCTGGAAACGTCGGCGAATGCCTCCTCAATGCAATTGTGTGGCTGTCCGGCTCGAACCACCAGTGTCAGCTTGGCATCGCAGAACCCTTGCTCATCCTGCACAGAAGGCTTCACAGAACGACCCTAGATGACAGGCGGCAGATGGCAGAGGCTCCTTGGGTCCGAATTGCACGGAAGACCAACCTGCAGTTGATTGCAACAAGCTTGGGAATTTCGAAGCGAGCCGCCCTCTGCAGCGGGCAGAAACAAGATTCATTCTCAACAATTGCAGACATGGCACTCGTGATCCCGCATGCTTCAACTACCAAAACTTCCGACATGCTGAGGGTGGTGCTGAGCATGGACTGCAGGGTGCAACGACGTTGCCCATGGTGGCACGTAGAGACCGGCCCCTCACGTGCCGGTGGTAGGGCGCATCTGCATCTTGAGCCATTCCAGCTAGCGGGCAGTCTCAGCAGATGCAGAATGTCGGGCAGAAGTTGCGCGGACACTCTTAGCCAGTGGCTTAGGGTTGCTGTGCCCCATAAGCTCAGCTTTCTGGTCGGTAGCGCGCTGAAGGTTCATCTCGTACATGTCGATCGTCTCCTCGAAGACTCTCGGAGGGGCGGATGATGGCGCATGCAGTTATCCAGAGGAGTTGCAAAGTCCTGCAAGCAATGGTTCTCAGCCAGTGCCGTGTCCAGCTCCTTGACCCCAAAACAAACATAGCTCCATGGTGTGCGACACAGGTGCGCACTGTTTTGAACTGCTGGAACGTGAGCAGGAGCTGTGCATTCTGCTGGTGCAAATCCTCGGCGTATTCAAGTCATGTTCCAGCCCACATCAGCGACACTGCTCCCAATAGGTTGTGACCAGCCTTGACTTCCACTTCCAAGCTAGAAATGTCCTTGGTGGCTCACTTCCCACAAACTCAAAGCGATCCCCACTGCTACCTGCAGAGCGGAGCAACGTCTACCCGTTACAGGAGGCCAATTGACCGCAAGCCATTCTCCCCGTGCATCAATCATCCCGTCCAACATGATGGAACGTGCCGTGCTGCAAACGGCATGGCCACCGGCAACAAGGAGAAAAATCCAAATATCATCACAACAATGATTCGTGGGATGCAGATCGGCATCCCCAAAACACTGCAGGTCTTGAGAACGCCGCACATTGGGGAGCGATAAGCAGCGGAGCAGGCTGGGAGCAGGAAGGTCAAGAGAAACAATTTCTGTCCGAAGCTCCACACTCTGGTTGGCAGAATCAAACGCTGGGGAAATCGTTCCCCTTTAGTCCGCACAAGACAAGGCCTGCACAAAGATATTCCGTTCCCGCCAAAGCATGCTCAGTCCCCTATCACTGAAGCAGTACCACAAATTTCTTGGTAAGCCTGGGTTGAAAAAAATGATGGCTCGCCCGGGTTACGTGTGTTCGACTGCAACGAATCAGCTGACAAACACAATGCTGCCAAATCAAGCTTCTCAAACCCGCGCCTGGCTTTGCCGCTTTGCTCTGTCCTCGTCTCTCTGGAAGCTGAGCGCCTTGCAAAATCTTATCCGGCTCCGGGAATTCCATCGGGCCTACCCTCACTCGGGCACTCCTGCCGTGTTGACGCCAGCCTTTTGACGCCAATGGTCCAGGTCAAGCTTTAGCTCCTTCACCTGTGCTTCGGCTCTGTCCTTTCGAATTCGTCGTGCAACACGCGCTCTACACCTGCATTGCTTCGACTTCCCCCGGCCATGCGGCATCACTGCCCAGCTGCAGCCAGTCCTTGGCGCTTTTGGTCATATTGGCATTGATCTCGGCGAACCTTAGAAATGCTGCAGTTTTCATAGTGCAGCAAAGCTATGTCACACACGAGCGCTGCTGAGCTCGAAACTTCAGTCTGTCGACGTCTGCCTGGAGGCGTTCCTGCACTGGCATATAGTGCTCAACACGACATGACAAGCAATCGAATTTCCGACAGTTTCCATAACACTGCAACTCCATCCGCACTGGACATCTTGAATCAACACCTTTCTGGAAAGCAAGGGACTGAAACTACGACGTCCTTCGCCGTCACTGCATCTGCAAGCTCCGACTGAGTAGAACATAAGCTCTCCTTGCACAGGTGGCAGAATGCAACAACTGCGTTCAGCGTCCGGTGTCTCCCGCTTGTGTCCTGCAGCTTCTCGACCTGCAAGAGTATGCGGGCAGACAGTCGCAGCTGCTATTGCTCAAACACTAAGTCTCGTACTAGTATATAGTACTTGTATTTTTTGTATTGTACTGGTAGTAAAATTAATCATAAAATACAAGTAACAATAATGCACCCTTAATCTGCCGGCAGCACGCATGTATACAGATACAGCCATGCAACGCTAAACGGGTTCACCCTAAGTTGAACATGGCTTTGAACCTCGCCTCGCTTGCTTACAGAAAGTCTTACTTGCTAAGGGCCGGCTCGGGTCTGGGTGCCTCCGAGTCTGCCTGTCCAACCACTCCCCCCCCACACACGCCTCCTAAACCATGACCAACTGCTTGCTTGCTTGCGAAGGGGTTTAGGGCCCCAAGGGTCCCTTGGCCCCTAGGCTCTGTTGACTGTTGTATTTTATCCTTCCAAGAAAATTTGTGGCTGCTGAAGCGGGCAGAAATCCTCGAGGGGGTCCCCTGATCCTGCTTCCTTCTGTCATGCCTCCTTCCTTCCAGTTGTCCTGCCCTCCTTCTTCCTGGCGGGAAAACCAATTCGACTCGTTTAAACAAATTCGGGGAGGCAAACCCTCATTTGAAAGCAATATGCTCGAATGACGGGTTTGGGAAGGGCTTCATCCTGGGTATCGAAGCAGCTTCTCGTTTGATCGCAGAAGGTTCCTAACATCAGGCTTTGCAAGGCCAAAACAAAGCAGGGTTGGAGTGCCGGTTCCACACTCGTTAGCACAATGCTTCAATGACGGGTTTGGAAGACAGGCACTGCATCACCGCGTTTTGACGGCCGCAGCTGGGCCTCTGGAAGCACACTTGCGGAAGCCTGAGATGGCAGGAGGACGCCATGTATTCTCCCGTTTGGTGTAAGAGGCATCGGCTTGGCGCGCGGACAAGCTCTGCCGAGAGTTTAGCTGAAAGCTTCATGTGCCGCTGATATGCCGAAGAGCTACTACTTCTCCACGAAGAGCTTCAATCAACTCCTTGCTTGCCTCCTGCTAGCTCGAGAACGCTTGGAACGTATGTGCAAATACCACGAGACAAAGACCTGTCCTGCGCCTGCACGGCCGCAAAAAGCTGACCGCGAAGCTCAGCGAACTGAGCACAGACGTTGTGGTTACCCAGTGCTTTGCATATTATGCAGACTCCAAAACAGCTCGGCGATATGAGATCTCCCAAGCATGCCTATAAGCCACTGCGAACGTCCCAACGACGTCTTTAAGCTTAATGCGGGCGTGCTTAGATTACCTTCGACTGCGGCATTTGTAGACTGTAGCCTGTCTGATTTTGTCTTGGCTGTTTGTTCCTGCCACAACGGACATCAACCCAGCTGTGCAACCCAACCGCAGAACGCCCGCGATGGTGTTCGGCAGTACGAGACAAGGGCTGTAGTGTGCAATTGCTACATTTGCAATGTACTTTGCGATTCACGAAGCTGCACAGGAACAAGGATTCGCCCTAACTTGTGTAGAGCACCTTTTCGTGAATGATTTCCGGAATTCGTAGATCGGTCAGTTGCGCTGCGGGCTATCCTCGACCTTTCAAGGACACCATTGCCTGAATCTTACTTTCCAACTGTTGGTGCCCTGCTTCACAACTCCCGCCATAGTGCCCGCCTCACACTGTGTCTCTTCTTTCTTGTGTTGGGCTTCTCGGCGTTGTCAGGTGGCTGTGCGGGTTGTGCTGGTCTGAGACAAATCATTGGCGAGTCAGGCTCCTCCTACATCATGAGGCAACACTCTGTTTTGCATGGTAAACATCGTACTTCAACAACTTCACTTCCTGCTGCATCGCAGGTCGTGCGAGCAGCAGGCGTGCGGGTTTTTTCAACCAAGAATGTCCGGACTTGGCATTCCCGATCATCGCGAAGCAAAAGGCAACTTCAATTCTGCCCGCAATTGTCTTGGCTCAGCTTCAGATATCCATGACAGACACTTTGCTTTTTGTTCCCTCGCCTTGGCCTGCAGTTCCATCTTGTCCGCTTCGGCACGTGCAACGGCCGTGGAGCAGATCTGCACACAGAGCTGAAATTCCAAAGCCAGGTGTTTTGTCTTTTTACATGAGCTCTCGCATGCTGCATTCTCCGTCCTCTAGCTCTGCCGCGGCCGCTTGCTTCTGTGACTCCAAGTCCTCCCAACTTGCGCATGGACAAGAAACAGAGAGCAACGGTAGTGATAGCACACTGATAGCACTGACAGAAGCGACAGAAACAGCAGCCACAGTAGCACTACCTTACAGTGCTTTGCCTTGCAGTGCCTTGTAGCCTGGAGCTGCCCGGAAGTTTGCGTTATTGGCCCTAAGTTGCTCACGCCCGGATCTGGCTCGAAATGGTTTTTCGGATACGATGAGTCCAGAAAGGAAGGCCAAAGCTCGTGGGACCACATCCTGGAATTTGATGATTCGTTGGGCTGAATCCTCCAAACTCTCAGTTTTGGTGAACAGCCAGGCCAAGACGATAACAGGATGAAAGGTCCTGAAGGGGTTAGCTGCCTTATTGGAAACTGTTTCCTTAGAACTCCAACGACATCTGGGAACTACTCCTGCAAAGCCTGCTCCGAACACTGCAACTTGGTCGTGAGCTCGTCGTTTGTCGCCTCCAGCCGGACACTAGGCCACGAGGCGACACTCATGATGGCATTGTGCATGGCGCTGGACAGACTGACAGCAGGCTTCTGCCCCATGCAAGTTCTGGGAAGGTGTCGAATCCTGCATCCAACGCTCCTCGACGCTGCTTGACATCGTTTCTGGTTTGGCTAGGCACTGCCACCCCAAAGAGGCATCTTCGAAATCTTTGTCGGACTGAAATTCTGCCCATTCTTCAGCTCCAGCAAACCAAAAAATGTGAAAACTACTTGTGCAGAAGTCTGGAGCAAGTTGCCTGCAGTTTCTCCGTTGCGAGCACAGATTCCAGGAGCTCACTCTCATGATTCTCGACCTGCAGGCCAAACCCAACTTACCGCGGCCATTTCTGTGTTGACTGCTTCCGCTGCCTTCTTTCGGGCAGCGACGAGCTGTGCGGCGGCATCGGCAGTTTCGGCCTTTCGCAAGCCAATTGCGCGAAATACTTCGTGGTCACAGTCACCACATATACATATCTATCTTTCTTTCTCTCTCTCTCTCTCTTCTCTCTCTCTCTCTCTCTCTCTCTCTCTCTCTCTCTCTCTACCGGGCGTGAGGGCAGAGCGGCTCCAGGCTCTAACCCTCGTGCGAGTCCGCACACCCGCGTTTCGCGGGACTTCTTTGTTCCCCAAGGGGATTTTCCCCTCCGGGCTCGGCTGTACGGTGACATGGGGTTTCAGGCACCTCCCCCCATTTGTGGCAACAAGGGTACAGTTTAACACTAAAGCTGACAAGTGCGGTGTGCTTGGTCGGTGGTAAGGTGCCTCTCCCCTCAGCTCCGGCTCTCCCCTCCTTTCTCACTGAAGCAAAACAACTGGACTGTACAAACTGTCTGAGTAACTGAGGGCCGGGCCAACCTTTGCGAGCTGAGGTATCACAAACAAACAGACAAAAGTATATGTATTGGTTCATCCCCCGAGCTCTGGCTGGCAGCATACTACCTGCAGGGTGCATCATGTCCCCCACTGAGAACCCGGAGTGGCGACTAGATGGAGTTCGAGTGTGGTTCCCCGGTTCTCAGTAGGGTCCATGCCGTCCGTAGAAAGCTGCTTGCATTCTACGGTGCCTATGGCTCCCTCCGTCGTCGTCGTCGTCTTGGCGAGGACTTCGGGAGCGTCCCCTCTCAGCTGCGTCACTGTGTTCGCTCCCCCCCATCGGTGGGGCATGCCATGGGATCGTTGTCCCTTCACTTTCGGTCTGTGTCGGCAGTGGGAGCGTGGTCATTTCTCCCGCTGCATTCACTGCCGCCTGGAGGCTGGGCGTCATGCGCACTATCTGCGCAGCACTGAGGATCCCCGGCTGCTCGTTGGCGGTCACGTCCGGAATCGTCCCCTCCGTGGTGCCGTCGCGAAGCTTCTCCGGCTTGCCGTTGGGGTTCTCGGTCGGCACGTTGTAGTCTGTTACGCCCCCTTCAGTCGCTGTGGCGGCGTCTCACCGGTTTGGGTGCTTTCATGGACCGCGTGCACCCCTCCGAACAGGGCTTGTTGCCACGCTTCCAGCGCTTGCAGCATCTCCACAATCGGCATGAGCACGTGGTCCCCCACAAAAGGAACCACGTTGCGGAGGCGCGTGGCCGCCCTTAGCAGCCTGGTTGTTGTTGAGCACGTCTGGCTTGTTCTCGCTGTCCACTCGCTCTGCGCCTCCCCCGCCAGGTTCAGGACGTCAGCTGGGTGAGCCTGTGTTGTGTCGGGCTCCATCGCAATGGCCTCCCCTCTTCTGGTGGCAAGGAGGGCTGCTGGAGCTAGCATGTCGTGGGCTCGTTCCACCATGCCAGTGTGTTCCATGTGCGGTCCCCCCCCATTGTGGGTAGGATCGCCTCGTCCACTCGTTGGTAGGCCGCTCTCAGCTGACTTTCTGCCTTCCTAAGGGAACTCTGGGGCACATCCTCCGGGATTGGGTCTCTGAGTTCTCCGAGGCCCGTGTCGATCATGGCCCGCAGCTGGCTCAAGTCTGTGGCGTACTCCTCCGGTGTGAAGCCTTCTCCCCGGCGTACTCTGGATGCCACGAAGCGGTAGGCTTCACTGACCCCGGTGGGGCCGGCGAAGGCTGCTCCCATCCCCTGCGGGCTAACATGTGGGTAACTCTCGGCATGGCTGAGCATACGGAGGGCGATGGCACAGATGTTGGAGATGATCTCCCCGTCGCGGTTCGCTAAGCCATCAGCGATTTCGTGGATCATCTGTATTTGTGCCACTGCCGCCTGGATCGCCCCCCTCTGAGCTGCTAGCCGGGCGTTTGTGTCCGGTGGGTCTGTGGAGCTTCTGGCCTCCCGGTCTCGTGGCGGGTCTGTGTGGCTTGTTGGCGCCACTGCTCCGGTCCCCCGGCTTGTCCTGCGTCGTCCTTCTCTCAGTTGGTTGGCGAGAGGTGTGCGTCGTCGTCTGCGGACAAGGCCCACGTTCTCCTCGTCGGTGGTCGTGCCGTTGAGCTCCCCCTCGGTACCACTTGGACATGCCGTCGGTGAGTTCGGCGTGGTCGTGGTTGAGGACGTTGTAGTGGACAGGTATTCTTGCATGAGCTCTGTGCCGTCATGCTCTTCCCCCGCTCCTGGTGCGGGGCTTGGCTTTGGGCCGAAGTGCCTGCCGTCGCGTACCTGGTGGTACCACGGTGTTGGCGTTGGTTGCGGTGGCGGCTGTTGTCGTGCTTGCGCTCTTGTCTGCTGTGCCTCTTGGCTCGACCTCCTTAGAGTCCTGCCGTCGGAGAGGGGGTTGCGTGGCCTGGTCGGCTGCTGCGGTTGTGCTTGTGGTTGTGGCTGTGTCTGCGTCTGCGGTTGCTCTGGTTCCGGTTCCGTTGGGTTTGGCTGCTCGTCCCCCGGCGGCTGTTGGGGTTGTGGCGGTTGGTCCCCCGTCTGTTCCGCGTGGTGGTAGTCGTGGTGGTGGTGGGAACGGTGGTCGGTGTCGGTGTGGGCTGGCTGTTCCGTGGCTTCTGTCCTGAAGAACTGGTCCGGTGTTGTGGTGGTGAACTGGATGCTCCAGTGTGTGCTGGTGGATAGGAGAAGGAACTGGTCCCCCACCTGTAAGGCCAGGCTTCGGTGCTCCTGGTGGCGGGGCGCCGGCACCTGTGTGACTGTGGCAAGCCACCGGCGTTGTGAGATCGGCTCCAGCAGCAGCCATGTTTCCCCGCTGATGGGCGGGTAGACACTGACGGGCATGCTTGTTGGTGGGGGTGGTGTGGTCTCCCCGCTGCTGGCTGGGACGTCTTCTTGGTACTCGATTCGGCTGAGCCATTTGCCGGCTCTAGGACTGTATGAGTGGCCGTGGTGATGGCTGAGTGGGGTAGTGGTGGTGGTGCCGAGTGGTCTCCCCCTAGCGAAGGGGGGCGGGGCTGTTGTGGTGAGTCTTCCGTCGGTTGTTGTGGTTGTCGTCTCGCTGGGTAGTAGCTTGTGGCAGTGGTTGGTGTGGCGCCGTCTTCTTCTGCGTCGGGGTTGCCAGTAAGGCGTGTAGGTGTCTGCTTTGGTTGGTCCTGGTTGGTGTGTGGGGTCGTCCATCGGTTGGTTGTCCTCCTCCTCTGCTGCGGTCTCCTGCTGTGGCTGAAGGTGTGGTGGCAGCGGCTGACCAGGGTTGAGCATGCGGAAGTAGTCCACCCTCTCTTGGAGGCTGAGCTGTGGCGGCTGCCAGTCGGTTGGTTCTGGCGGGTCGGTGTCGTCTTGGGCTGGTGGTGTGGGCTTGCTGTTGTTGTGGCGTTGGGGTGGTGAAGGGCCTTGGCCCAGAAGGTGTTGCCCCCACCGTGAATGGTGGAGGTTGTTGGCCTTCAGCCAGCGCTTGATGCGGTATTTTTCCGCCTTGTTTCTGGTGCGGTCTGGGCCTCCTCCTTCATGCTGTCGGTACTGGGCTCTGCGTTGGGTTCCTGCTGCTGCGGCTGCTTTGGAGCTCCGTCGCCGTGGCGCGTGGGTCCCATGTTGGTCCCCCCCGGGTGTGCTGCCTCCATCGTCGGTGTTGCTGCCGTCGCCAGGGAAGTGTGGTAGCAGTTCTCTTTCAATGTAGCTTGCAGGTATCTCCCCCGTCGTTATCCAAACATAGTGTTCTCGCATGGTCATCCCTGGGATGGCTCGTGTGCCGCCTGGTGGCATGCGCGAGCCCGTGACGGCCTCGAAGGGGGCCCTGACGTTGAGCCGAGGTTGTGTGTCCCCCCCGGCGGTTGACGCTCTCTCTCTCTCTCTCTCTCTCTTCTTCTTCTTCTTCTGCAGGGCATGAGGGACGGGTTAGGCCCCCCGGCCTCTTGGGCCCCCCGTTTGTTACGGGGCTTTTCGGCGGGGCGTGAAAAGGCATGGGTTCCCCCAGGTTTCAAGGCAGTTTATATTGGACTATAAAGGACCTGGGTTCTTCCACGCTAGACGACACATGCGACCAACTATAACTGTGGGTTACGGACGATTGAAGATGCCAAGGAGTACAACCTGACCTACAAACAAAAGTTATAGTCCCCCACAGTTGGTTGGCACGAATTTGACTGCCATGTCTTAGGCACTGTACTCGTGCCTTTTCAGACGGCTTTCTGGTCCTTTGCTATCGCAGTAACCTAAATAACACCGAGTAGTATCTCTCTCTCTCTCTCTCTACATTGCTTGTAAACGGGTTATGTATTTGTAGATATAAAACGTATACCAGCAGCCGCCTCCAGGGTTTGCGATACGGCCGTGAGCTTTTGCTGCTTTACTTCTACCTGATCGCGCAAAATTGCGGGATGACAACACACATGGCGGTAAACAAGGAGGGCCTGCGTCTGAAGCTCTTCCACCTGGGACTGCAATGCCGCGTTCGCATCCTTGCAAGCACTACGTACTCGACATGATGCACCGGGTTTGTATGACATGTCGCTTTGCCTGCAAGGCCTGTGCTGCTGCAACCGTCTCGCTGTACTTCATCTGCACCTGCAGAAGATGGGCTAGTCAGCAACATCACACCGACCTTGAACAGACAAGAAAGATTATCCCAACTGCGGCATGCCTGTTCTTCTGCACAGGCATGCTGCAAGGCCTTCGCCCTGGCGTCCTGTGTGGTATCCGAGACAGGAGGCGAGTGGTATGCTGTTCGACGCCCCATCTTGCGGATTGTTTGAGGGAGCTCCGGTTCTCCTGCAAAGCCTCCTCGGAGCACTGCAACTTGGTCGTGAGCTCATCATTTGTCGCCTCCACTAGGCGACACTCATGATGGCATTGTGCATTCATGGTTCTGCCCCATGCAAGTTCTGAGAAGCTCCTCGACATCGTTTCTGGTTTGGCTAGGCACTGCCACCCCAAAGAGGCATCTTCGACATCTCTGTCGGACTGAAATTCTGTCCATTCTTCAGCTCCAGCAAACCAAAAAATGTGAAAACTACTTGTGCAGAAGTCTGGAGCAAGTTGCCTGCAGTTTCTCCGTTGCGAGCACAGATTCCCGGAGCTCACTCTCATGGCTCTCGACCTGCAGGTCAAACCCAACTTACCGCGGCCATTTCTGTGCTGACTGCTTCCGCGGCCTTCTGTCGGGCAGCGACGAGCTGTGCGGCGGCATCGGCAGTTTCGGCCTTTCGCAAGCCAAGTACATAAAATACTTCGTGGTCACTGTCACCATATCTACATATCTATGCATTTCTCTCTCTCGCTCTCTCTTCTCTTTCTTTCTTTTGCCAGGGTTGTGGCGCAGGGGTTACCCCCTACACTCTCTTCTCTCTCTCTCTCTCTACATTGTTTCTTTAAACGGGTTATGTATTTGTAGATATAAAACGTATACCAGCAGCCGCCTCCAGGGTTTGCGATACGGCCGTGAGCTTTTGCTGCTTTACTTCTACCTGATCGCGCAAAATTGCGGGATGACAACACACATGGCGGTAAACAAGGAGGGCCTGCGTCTGAAGCTCTTCCACCTGGGACTGCAATGCCGCGTTCGCATCCTTGCAAGCACTACGTACTCGACATGATGCACCGGGTCTGTATGACATGTCGCTTTGCCTGCAAGGCCTGTGCTGCTGCAACCGTCTCGCTGTACTTCATCTGCACCTGCAGAAGATGGGCTAGTCAGCAACATCACACCGACCTTGAACAGACAAGAAAGATTATCCCAACTGCGGCATGCCTGTTCTTCTGCACAGGCATGCTGCAAGGCCTTCGCCCTGGCGTCCTGTGTGGTATCCGAGACAGGAGGCGAGTGGTATGCTGTTCGACGCCCCATCTTGCGGATTGTTTGAGGGAGCTCCGGTTCTCCTGCAAAGCCTCCTCGGAGCACTGCAACTTGGTCGTGAGCTCATCATTTGTCGCCTCCACTAGGCGACACTCATGATGGCATTGTGCATGGCGCTGGACAGACTGACAGCAGGCTTCTGCCCCATGCAAGTTTTGTGAAGGCGTCGAATCCTGCAATCAACGCTGCGACCCTCCTTGATATCGTTTCTGTTTTGGCTAGACACTGTCACCCATGAAAATAGAAGGACGCAGCGTCGAAATCTCAATCCGACTGATATGCTGCGCACTAGTCAGCTCAAACAAACCAAACCGATATGAAAACTACTTGTGCGGAAGTCTGGAGCACGTTGCCTGCAATCTCTGCGTTGCAAGCACGGATTCCCGGAGCTCATTCTCGTGGTTCTCGACCTGCAGCGGAACAACCCGACAAATAGCGAGGGGAAACAAGCACGAACCCAAAGCACTGCATGCCACGCTCATCATCTCAGCTTCTCCGTGCCGACTACTCGCACAGCCTTCTTCTGAGCAGCAAGAAGCTGCGCTGTTGTGTCGACAGCCTCGATGGGCCAGGACGGCTTGGAGGTACGAGAATGTGAAGGGTGAGGGCAGGGTCTGGGGCCACTTGCCATCTGGGAATACACATGCCGCACGCATGCGAAAATCGACCCAACTATCGATGTTAAGAAATGTGGTGCCACGTCGACACGTCAGTGGCCCCTCTCCCCAGCCCCCCCGCACCCTCCCACACTCCCATGCTGTGGTATGGAAGCGAGTCTGTGTAACAGTGGCCGATTTTTGGCCTGGAAACCTGTAGGCTTGGGATCTCGGTATCACGGCGACATCTCAAGAATGGATCGCTTGGGACTCAATAACTGCCCATGGCAGTCGCTGTTTCCGGATCTTGTTATTGTCGCGACTGTGACGTCTCAAGTGTGCCAACAGCCGTCCGGATGATCGAATGATGAACTGTTGAACATGTCGAGCGGGGCAATCCGAACGAAGAACAAACCTGGCTACATCCACTAACAGCAACTCGAGAAAGAGATACAGGACCGGGGATGAAGCCAGAACCACCCACACCCAGACATGGGCAAGGGCGGCAAGGGCATTTAGTCCCCGAGCTCAAACCCGTTGGCGTGCGAGACGGGGGCAGCAACGCCGCACCAGATTTGTATAAAGATAGATAAATAACAATCAGATAGATAAACAAATCAATAAATGTCTGTCTACATCCATACAGAAAAAAGGCATTGCGGGCTGCATACTTGCAACATCTCGAGGTGGTCGCATATGCCCATGTCTATAGCAATGCTTTTTCCACATGTTCTCTGACACATATCTCCTCAGTGCATGTACGATTGGCACGTCCCGTCCATGCTTCTATACATAACTAGGTACACGGCAACGACCGGAGGCATGTCAAGTCAACAAACAGCTTGTGTGCCACAAAGTGCTGGTATTATCATATGTTCATGTGCTACCTCTCTCACAAATACCTCAAAATTGCTGAACTGCGGGTTCGTACTTGGTGATAGACTCGCAACATCTCAACACTACAGGAATCCGGTACAGAGAAGCTTGTGAATGGTATCTGGAGGTTGGTTCGTTTGTACACTACGATGTCGAAGGTGAAATGCTTGCGTGGCAGGGGCATTGAAGGGTCGAAAGCCAATTCTCCAGCAAGAACGCAGCATCTTAACTTAGCGGCTGCTAATCTGCCACGAAGTATGACCACTATCTGTATGTATGTATGTATGCACGACTGTACGAATGTACGAATGAACGCATGCATCAATACATGCTTGAATGAATAAACGAAGGAAGGCATGCATGCATGGATGGATGGATGGTAGGATGGATGGAGGAAGAGATGTATATTTGTATGTAGGTATGAATGCGTGTATGTTCGCCACTGTCTGCGGAATCTGTGCACGCAGTGTGTCCTCGTCCTTCTGTGCATCCTGTTATCTGATCTTGTCTCCGGGACGTGGGCAAATGCAAGAATGCCGAAGCAGCGGACCTCCTTGTGCGGTTGAGTAGTTGGCTTCGATCTCTCACGTGGTGAAGGCGGTCGGTTCTCCTCTCCACACAAAGGTGGCGAGCACAATTCTCGCGTCTGCACAACACACCACAGGTCCTTGCACTGGCGAGATTTCAAGGAGCCCACCTGCAACTCGAGGCTCCAAGATTGGCCAAAGTTGTATTTTCCAGGGCCCTCCTGATCGCTTTCACTTTCTCTCGAGACTGGCAAAACCGCAGAACGAGGCGCTCATGACATGCACAACGGCCACTGAGAGATTTTATGTACTCGCGCTCCCCCAGCTGCCCCTTAGTTTTGGGTGCTAGAGACCCGCCGTACATGCTCTGGCTCAAAATAGCTCCCTCGCGTGAAACTTGATTTTTAATGGCCGTGAACCCAAGTGTGTTAAGTGGTCCTACTTCAGAATTCTGTAACAGCAGTTGTCAAGTAGTCGCCTGGGTGTGTGCGCACTGGCGCCCACTCCCAAACAGCATGTGCGCAGCAAACCGTTGTTGTTCCATTGTCCCGTACTTTTCACTGCTTCTGTCTTTGCTTCGTGTTGCGTACTGTACATTGCAAGGTATTACTTTGTTCGAGACCATCTCTTCCAACATCGGCCGCGCAATGTCACCGAGACAGAGCTGATTGCATCACATAGCAGAGCTTGTAAAGGTGGCATGCACTTCAACACTGATACTTGTACTAATACTCATATTGATACTGACACTGACACTCATGCTCATACTAACCCCAGCACCAACACCAATTCCAATACCCATGCCAATGCCAATTTGTATACCAATACTAACCACTCACACTCAGACTCAAACTCATACCCATACTCACACTCATGCTCACACTAATAACACAAGGCTAATATACTGATACAGGAATATTTTCATATACTATTCTACTAATAGACCCACATATTAATATACTTGGATACTACTACTACTACTACTACTACTACTACTACTACTGCTACTACTACTACTACTACTACTACTGCTACTGCTACTGCTACTGCTACTACTACTACTACTACTACTACTACTACTACTACTGCTACTGCTACTGCTACTGCTGCTGCTGCTGCTACTGCTACTGCTACTGCTACTGCTACTGCTACTGCTACTGCTACTACTACTACTACTACTACTACTACTACTACTACTACTACTGCTCCTACTCCTGCTCCGGCTGCGGCCACGGCTACGCCTACTGCTACCGCTACTGCTACTGCTTGCTGTAGTAGCCGCAGTAGTCGAGTAGTAGTAGTAGTAGTAGTAGTAGTAGTAGTAGTAGTAGTAGTAGTAGTAGTAGTAGTAGTAGTAGTAGCAGTAGTTTGTTATCACCCACATGGCACGCCAATGACAGCTCTGCGAGGCCTTAAATGGTAACTAGTCACGACGGATCCCCATATTCCTTGAAAACAGCAGAACAGAAGTTTTAGGTCACAGAATCATTGGGGCTTCGTCGATCCTCCACCCCCCTGGTCAGCAAATCACACGAGGCCTGTTCCTAAAATATACAAGACGAAAATTAAACTCGTACGCTAAAGAGGTGCGCAAGGCCCTTCACATGATTTCGAGCAGGCGGAATTCGAACAGGCTTTTGAATCCGGTTTGTAGTAGTAGCAGTAGTAGTAGTAGTAGTAGTAGTAGTAGTAGTCGGATCGTTTGTCAGGTCACAAGGAACAAAGGTGTGCGGCAACCCCCGGAAGAGCCAGAGAAAGCCAAGAGCGGCAGCCACGCTCCCCGGACATGCGCACCCAGAGGCCAGCGCACCGAACAGCTCAAGCCACAACCTTCCGGCTGCCCCCCAAAAGGGTCAATACCCAAACACAGCCAACTGGCATCCATGTGGGGTGCCGTGCAGCCAATGCCAGCAACCCCCATGGTGGCCCACAGGGGTGGAAGGAGGGCTAGGCCGTCCCGGCTGCCCCCGTAAAAACATCAATACCCAAACACAGCCAACTGGCATCCAGACACAGCTAGAGTAGCCGGCTCAAGGGTAGAGTGTAGAGTGAGGAAAACTTGAATGAGTCAGATAGACTGGTAGTCAGGTCTTGCCTTGTGTGCCAGAGCCTGAGTTTGGCGAAGCTTGCCCTCTAAAGTTCGGACAATTGTGTGAGCGTATCCGCGCCGTGCGGAACGCAGTCCAGCGTCCTTTGAGACAGACGCTCGCCAGGTTTTTTCGTCCTCGCTGCATGGAGTACCACCGATACGGTGCTTGCGCAGCCAGCTTCTGCAACAGGTCATTCAACCACTTGCGTTGAAGACCAGGGGTGACTTGGGGAGAGGAGGTCTCCAGGCTGTTTGTGCTTGAAGAAGCTAGCCACCGCCGTTCCGACAAAAGCATCATCAGTCGTGAAGGATTCCACTGCACCCTGGCGCTGCCCGCTTTTACTCATTGGTAACGTCCCCGTTCCTTTGCCCCGCGAAAGAACGAAATCACCTGCTTTAGTAGAAAATAGTTCTCCCGACCTTGCAATTGTGTGGAAACTTAGTAAGAGCACCGCCGTATCTTTCCAACCAGCTTCAAAAGCCAGCTGAGCAAGTGCATAGATCAGTGCCACCGCGAATGGGGGTGCTCGGGCAGGGAGTTCTGAACGCCCCCAGGCTGCATGAACACGGCAGCCTCAGCTCGAAATCATATGAGGCTTTACCGACGGGATGAAATGGCCCAGCCCACTCAGGGGTCACGGATCAAAAAAATTTAAATTTGGATCAAAAAAAATTAAAGCACAAAGATCAAAAAATCAAAAATAGGATCAACAAAAATTAAATCAGTACTTCCGCCACAGAATCACACAAAAAACAAGAGGTGATCGAGGATGACGGATCAAAAAAAATATATTTGGATCAAAAAAACAAAGCACAAGGACTCAAAAAATTAAAAACAGTATTAAAAAGGTTAAATCAGTACTTCGCTTTTGCCCCCGAAAGCGATGTCATGTGTCCCGACAAGTTAAGAAAGCGGGCAATTCATGTGGCTTCTCCCTCTCATCGTTCTCCAGAGAGACTCACGTTGCCGTTTTACCTTTGCTTTCTTGTTTCTTGCTTTTGGCTTCCCAAAGCGAATACATCTGGCTTTCGCCTTTTTGCCTGTCGGTGAAGACGTTTCATTCATGAGAAATCTTCTATTCTTTGAATTTTAAATCCCCTGAAGCGTTTTCATGTGGCTTTGCCCTTGTTGTGCGTTTAGAAGAAACGTCTTTAATTCATTTCATCGACAGCTTAAGAAAGCGGGCAGTTTGCAGTTAAAAAACCAGGGGGGGGCGCAGGCCCCCCCCCCAGTTGCAAACCTTCCAACATGAGCTTTGTTTTGCTCGCTTATACCCCCCTAAAGCGATTTCATGTGGCTCGACAACTTAAGAAAGCGGGCAGTTTGCAGTTTAAAAAACGGGGGGTTTGGGGGGGCGGCGCAGACCCCCCCCCATTTGCAAACCTTCCAACATGAACTTTGTTTTGATCGGTTTACCCCCCTAAAGCGATTTCATGTGGCTCGACAACTTCAGAAAGCGGGCAGTTTGCAGTCAAAAAAGCGGGGGGGTTGGGGCAGCCCCCCCCCCAAGTTGCAAACCTTTCAACATGAGCTTTGCTTTGCTCGTTTTTACCCAC